AAGGGTTAAAATATATTTTATTGATTTTTTTCACAGAGAGGGCGAGGGATAGAGAGCTAGAAATGTCGATGAGAGAGAAACATCCACCAGCCGCCTCCTGCACAGCCCCCACTGGGGATGTGCCTGCAACCATTGTACATGCCCTTGACCGGAATCGAACCTGGGTCCTTTCAGTCCACAGACTCAGTTTGGCTCTATTCACTGAGCCAAACTGGTTTCGGCAGTTGGTGCATTCTTTCTCATGCTATCTGAGGTGACCAACCTGGGACTGAGTAATTTTCTGAGATGCAGTACTTTCAGTGCTAAAAAAGGGAAAGGCTGAATTCTTATGTTATCTCTTAATTAGATTTTGAGTTCCTAGAACAGTGGTTCTCAACTACGGCAGTGTTTTTCAACCTTTTTTGGGCAAAGGCACACTTGTTTCATGAAAAAAATCATGAGGCACACCACCATTAGAAAATGTTAAAAAATTTAACTCTGTGCCTATATTGACTATATATAAAGTAATTCTCTTGAATAGGAATCAAATAAACACAAAGAAAGTATTTTATAATTACTTTATTATGAAATATTAAGTAAACAAAATAGTGAAAAATTATAAAATTCTTGTCTTTTCTGCACCTACGGCACACCAGGCAACAGTGTGCCGTGGAACAGCGGTTGAAAAACGCTGAACTAGGGGACATTGGCAATTATCTGGAGACATTTTTGTTGTCAAGCCTGGGTTAAGCCCTAGCCAGTTTGGCTCAGTGGATAGAGCATCGGCCTGCGGACTGAAAGATTCGTCAAGGGCACATACCCAGGTTTTGGGCTTGATCCCCAGTGGGAGGTGTGCAGGAGGCAGCCAATAAATGATTCTTTCATCATTGATGTTTCTCTCTCTCTCTCTGATTAAAAAAAAACAAAAAAACAGCCAAATCCGGTTTGGCTCAATGAATAGGGCATCAGCCTGTGACTGAAAGGTCCCAGGTTCGATTCTGGCCTGTGACTGAAAGGTCCCAGTAGGGGTGTGCAAGAGGCAGCTGATATATGATTCTCTCTCACCGATGTTTCTAACTCTATCCCTCTCTCTTCCTCTCTGTAAAAAATCAATAAATTAAAAAAAAAAGAAAAAAAAAGAAAGAGGGTGAGGGGACAGGCTGGGCCCAGCCCTTCACACCTTATTTAAAAAACAAAAACAAAACCATAAAACCTGGTTGGTCGCTTCTTGGCCTTTTGGCTAAGATCAAGTGTAGTATCTGTTCTTATCAGTTTAATATCTGATATGTACTCTATCCAAGGACATTATATTAAATGTATTTTTGGAGCAGGGAGAAGGAATGAAAAAAGAAAAACAAACGAAAAACCTGGGTTGAGGGGCTAGTGGTATCTGTGGGTAGAACTCAGGGATGCTGCTAAACATCCTACAATGCAAAGGATAGCCTCCATAACAAAGAATCAGCTAGCCCAAACTGTCAAAATGCTGAGGGTGAGAAACCAACCTAGCTTTTTTTTTTTTTTTTTTTAATGTTTTTATTGACTTTTTAGAGGGAGGAAGGAAACATGAGTAACATCCATCAGCTGCCTCCTGCAAGCCCCCTACTGGGGATCAAGCCCTCAACCTGTGCATGTGTCTTGACTGGGAATCGAACAGGCATGGGATGATGTTCAGCCAAGTGAGCCACAGTGGCCAGGCCATACGACATAATGCCTGCTGGGCATACAGAAAAAATGGCATCTGTAAGCTGGAATATCAAGGAAGGCTGGCCTCCAAAAGGTTGAGCATGTGGCTGGTTTAGATTCTTGTGGGCAGGCACTTGACTCTCTTGAGGTGGGGCTGTAAATACCACTGAGTGTACCTAAATGCTCTTGGGGTGCTCTGTGATTCTCAGTGGCTGCCGGAAACAATGTGGAGGACATCTGTGGGGAGCTCTTACTGCAGCTGCACCAGCAGTATCCAGGTGATATCGGATGCTTTGCCATCTACTTCCTGAACCTGCTTACCCTGAAGCCAGGGGAAGCCATGTTTCTTGAGGCCAATGTGCCCCATGCCTACCTGAAAGGAGGTGAGCCACGTTTTAGCAGTGAGCCCCCTGCCATCTCCCTTGGGCCCTGGGTCCCCTACCAGACAAACGGCGGAGAGGGTGCTTGAGACCTTTAGGGCCCTATCAGTTCTGACTTCCAGAGTTCCTAGTCAGCAAGCAAGAGACCAGGAAGGATGATGAGTACTAAGATGATGTCAGACACTGCTTGAATCATCATACTAACTCCTTGAGGTTATGATATTCATGTTAAACCCTGTCAATGTGTGGGAACCACAATTTGAACCTAGGCTATCTTGGCTAAAGTTCGTTCTCTCTCCTGCATCACACTGCCTTCATTTTTGTCCTATCAACTCAAGGATTTTATATTAAAATACATGTTGCCATAGAAGGGTGCTCCATTTTGATTGTTGGCCCTATGTCCATCATGGACAGGAATTTCTGAGAGAATTAGGAGTCTGAGGAGGGTTGTGGCTCCCCAAAGGTGAACCTGACTACCCCTAACAGCGGGTGAACTGCCACCTGTTTTTGTATCCAACATTTTAGCTTATTCTCCCAGAGAATGCACTTCACATGTTCTTACCTAGCTGCTGTGGATTGGTAGTGCTCAAGTTTGAAGGACCAGCCTTGGAGAGCCAAACACCAAGGCATCCTTCATCAGCTTAGCATATGTCCTCAGACTGTGTGGAGTGCATGGCGTGTTCAGACAACACAGTACGTGCTGGCCTGACATCAAAGTTCATCGATGTGCCAACTCTGTGTGAAATGCTCAGCTATACTCCCAGCCCCAGCAAGGACAGGCTCTTTCCTCCAAAATGGAGCCAGGAAGACCCCTACCTTTCTCTCTACGCACCCCCTGTACCAGACTTTGCTGTTATGAAGATGGAGGTGAGTAGGGGGCCATGGTGGGTGTTCTTTGCTTTTTTTGTGGGGCATGATAAACCCTGGCAAACCACACTGTGGGCTATACTTGGGGCGGGGTTTCCTTTTCTTGCTAAGTTCATTTGGTGAGATATGGCCCAGGGCCTGCCCACTCCTCTGTGCCGGGGTCCAGATGTAGGCCTCCATGCTGACAAGAGGTGAGCAGTGGGAGAGAAGGTGGTCCATGGGGTTGTCCTGTGCCTGTGAGCTGTTGGAGCAGAGACTGAGCTACATCATTCTTTTGTTTCTTCCCACCCAGGTCCCTGGTTCAGTCACTGAATATAAAGTCTCAGCATTGGACTCCGCCAGCATCCTTTTAATGGTGCAGGGTACAGTGACAGCCAGCACTCCCACAGCCCAGGCAGTAATCCCCCTGCAGCGTGGTGGGGTGCTCTTCATTGGGGCCAATGAGAGTGTCTCACTGAAGCTCACTGTGCCTGAGGACCTGCTGATATTTCGTGCTTGCTGTCTGTTGTAGAGGCCATAGCCATCCTGGCTCTCCTGCCCAGTCAAGTCACCCTAAATCCTGGCCACTTTTAACTCCTCAGGCCCAGCCCAAACTCCTTCCCTGCTCTGGACTGAGTACTTCCTGCAGTGAACTCAAAAGGTAGCAACTCCTGAGCAAGCCTAGGCTGAACCATCTTCCTGGGAGGGGCCCAGGTGAGGAGTAAGGGGCAACACTCCATTTGTATTCTCACCACTCCTGACACAAATTCAATGCCGGATAGAACAGTTATTTTATCTGCAGTATTAGACAAGTTGGTGAAACCTATAGTTAGCTCAACATCAGTTACAGCAAAAGGGTAGTAACTAATTTCTAAGAACAGGGTTCTGGCCGTGGGAGTGCCCATTTCTTCAGTGGCAGAGGAGTGAAAGCTTAGGCCTGTGTACCAGTTTTGTTCCTTGTCACCCTCTTGCTTTGTCAAAGCAATTAAAAGATCACTTGTGTTGAGGCACTGAATCTTTGGTATTTCAGTCTCTGAAGTGGGTAGGCTGGGCTCTAGAGCACTTTTATAGGAAGGTGTGACCAGCTTCAGCCTCAGATGCAGAGCTTACAGGCAGGCCTTGGGCCCTTCAGACAGTGGGAAGGTTATAAAAGAGCAAGATTCTTAAGGATTTGAGCTGGCCTTTGGGCTGAGATTAGCTTGCTAAAATCAGCAGCCTAGGTTTGGCCACACCTACTCATTTACAATACTCCCTGCCTGCTCTCAGGTTACAAAATTGAGTAGATAGGTCAAACTGTATAGCCTGCAAAGTACTGACTGGCCCTTCACAGAGAAAGTTTGTTAGCCACTTCTCTGGAATACAGTCATTATAGATACAGGGTCAAGATAATACAATTCGTCTTGTGAAGAGGCAACCTAAGTACTTTTTCTAAACTGGCAGGAAGTTCCTAGGAGGGCATATAACTTTCCCTGTGCCTACCATCTCAGGGGACACACTTCTGCAGGAGGCGGCACAGCTGTGCTTTGTCACTGAAGATTCTGTTAGAGCTTATCACCCCAGACTAAGCAGAAACCCAGTCTATTGGTTCCTTCCTGTGGGATAAGGGTTTGGATTCTCACAAAAGGATCTTTCCGGGCTATATCCCACACTAGACTCCCCATGCAAGTGAATTCTAGGAAACTACTCTTAAAAAAAAAAGTTCTGGTCAATCTGTTCTGGGTTTTCTTGGCCCCCAAATGTCCTTGGCTTAAAAAAACAAAGAAACCTGGTAGAAAAGGTCTGTCAAAGGGAGCTCATTCTAAAGAGAAGTGATGTGCAAAGGCTGATTCCACCCACGGTCCCCAGTGAAGCAGGTCTGAAAACAAAGCCTACTGGGAAGAGCAGAGAGGAGCTCCTGGGAGGAATGGTCACAGTTGGGGCTAATAGGCTATTTTCTTTTCTATATTTTCATTTATTTCAGAGGATTGGCAAGGGAGAGATAAACATCAATGATGAGAGAATTATTGATCAGCTGCCTCCTGCATGCTCCACACAGGGGATGGAGCCTGTAACCCAGGCATGTGCCCAGATTGGGAATTGAACTACTCGACCACTGAGCAACACTGGCCAGGCTATTTGGATATTTATTTTAGAATTTAGAAGTGGCAATGACTGTGGCCTGGACCTTCCTTAAAAATCCCATTGCAACAGAGAGCTCAACTACCCTGACTGTATTTATGGTAAGAGCTATGGAGCCTTAGCCAAGAGTTCTACAGAGTACTCTAAACACCACAGAGCACCACTCCCATCAGTCAGGTAAAGCCTGAATACACCCCTGTCCTCAGGGCACTGTCACCTGCAGAATACCCAGCTCTTTCAATAAGGCTGTTTGGTACTGGGCTTCTTGGTGCCTTTTGGTGATACTTTAGCTTCTGGCCCCAAACCTATCCCGCCTCACTACACACTGTCCCCTATTTCAGGTTCCCGCAACTTTCCCCACAAAGATAATGTCTCCCATTCAATGTCAACCAACTCTGGAACATCCTCTTCAGGAACAGCTGCAGCCAAATATGCTAGTGTTAATAGCAACAATGATCCTGAGGGCCTTGGTCTTGGGTTCTGTTGCCACCTTCAGCACGCACCAGCCATTACCAAATGCTTAGGTCACTGGCCCACTGTCCTAACCACCTCCCTCACAGAAAACTGTCCCACATTGGGCTGCCACAGCCACTTTCTTTACACTGTCCTACATCTGAGCCCCTTTGTGTACATTTTGTCACCTATGCAGAAGCCAGAAAGGCCTGGATAAATCTGTAGATGGGCAAGGGGTTCAGAATGGAGAAGTCCTCATTCCCTGCAAGCATTTTCAAAGTGCTAGGTAAGTGGGAACCTATATAGAGTTGCAGAATAGAATGACCATATTTACCTCCCTTATGCCAGCAGTGCCTCTGGTCCCTGTCCCATCTCTCTCTTGCTGTGTGCACTGTGAGATTATAGAATAAGTTAGCTACAGCCCCCTAGATACAGAATTCCTCTCAGCTTTCTGAGATTTGAGAAAAGCACCAATATAGATGCCAATCAAGCTAATAGGATTACTCCCATGAGGCTAGTCCTCTGATAAATATGGCCTTTTAATCTGACATTTTCAGTCTTTTAATCACCTCATGCAGTAGGAGAGCAAAAGAGAGTCCATGCCATCCCTCATATACCCCTATTGGTGACAGGGCATCCAATAAGTCATGAGACTAGGCACTTTCCCATGTGGAACCCACAATCCAATCCTGACTATCATACCCCTTGGGCTAGGAAGCCTGCCCACTCCCATTCAGTTCTCACCAAGGTTCCAGGTAAGGCAAAAAACACAAAAATACTAAAACTAAATTCTAGGGAGATGGGTAGTCTAGCAAGGTATGCTGTCTAGTAGGGTCATGTGTCTTTGCCATGTTCACATTGGGGGCTGAGAGGCTGTGCTGCACGCAGAGGTTTACTGTAAAAAGTCCAATCCTGAGTATCCACTGTGAGGCCCATACTGTGGTCACGGAACCTGGACAGCTGGACACAACAGAATGGTCCACAATGAGTTAAGGGAGGCCCTCTGCAATGGCAGACTGTCTCCTCAGGCAGAGGCCTTGGGAGCTGGCACAGGTCCCTACTCCCCATCTGTTTGCGTCTCCATCTATGTCAGAGCCCACACACAGCTTAGCCAGTATACTTCTCACCACTGCTACTTCTCAGGTTTACAGGCTGTTACATAGAGAGACCCTGCAGCTATCTCTCCTGGTAACCAAAATCTGTAGGCTTCTGGGCCAACATTTAGCTCCAAGACTGGATGGAGAAACTAGCTAAGACCAAGGTGGAGGATTGCAGCCAAGGAATGACAAACATACTCATAGAGTTGGACCACTTGGGAATGATCTGGGTCCAGGGATTCTGGAACCTGCTGTGTCATCAAGCAAGCTGTTATCCTCCTTGCAACAGTCAGGCACAACCAGAAAAGGGCCAAAGCTTTATGCTCTCTTGAAGGGCAAACCCATCTTGGAGCTAGGAAGGAGAGCTTAAGGAATTTCTTGAACTGGTCACATATGAATTCTTTTTCTAAAATTCCCAGTGCAAGCCACAACTTTTCTGCCTCCATACAACACAAACTGGGCACAAAAGCTCTTTTCCATCCAAAGAGCATGACAACAAATACCAGCCAGGATGTCACGTGTTTTTCTTAGCTAGCATTGTCACTCACCCTAAGAATCAAAATTCCTCTATTCCCACCCCTATTAAATGGCTTCACCAAACTCTGCTCCAACAGCAGAATTCCACATATTACCCTATCACCCAGATGGGGGCCTCCTGCCTGAGAAGCACCAGGTAAGGGGTAACTACAGGTCACTGACTTCCCTGAAGGCCAGTACCTCAAGTGATTCTGGGAACGCAGTCTGTGACCTATGAAGAGCCAAAACAGATCTGCAGGCACGGCAAGCAGGGCCTGTTTTAGGGACTTATGTCTACTGGAGGGTACAAGAGGAAGAGTCCCCAAGACAGCACCAGCAGCAGGAGCACGTTGAGGCCATAGGCTTGGGAGGAATGAGGTCCAAGTCCTCATCATCTGGAATCTCATCCAGGTGATACCCATCCTGGAGCAGCTGGCGGCTCACATCCTGGTTCACCTGCTAAAAGCAGGAGAGAAAACTATAAGCCAGTCTGCAAAGCTGAAATAACTGCTGCCCAAAATGCAGACTCACATTTCCTTCCTGTCCATTCTCCACCCTCAGGTCAATCCCATACATTCCTGGATTGTAGGTGGAAATGCCAGCTTTTTCTACCTGTGCCTCAGCCAGCAGTGAGGGGCACCCAGGAGTCTGGGCCAGTAATGTCCAACCTGCACTGTCACAAACCCGCAGGGGAGTTACTCTCACTAAATAAGGAGGAATCTGATGTAAACACCAGATTCTAGAATATGTTTGAAAATCAATGCTCTGACCATTCCCACTGGGAAGCTAGAGTGGTCCCTATGAAGGCTGAAAAATATGAGACAATTACACCACAACGGTGAGGTAGAATAATAAAGGAATATAAGTTACAGTACAACAGGGTAGAGCGCAGCCTTGTCGGCACTATCATTAGACATATTGTCCTCCTATGCCTGCAAAGCTCATCCCCTGCAAAGTGGAACCTGTCAGACTGGTTTTACCAGCTCCTCTGAGCAGAAGGGAAGTCAGACTGGGAACAGTGTAGGACTTTCTCTGGTTCTTGGCTAATTTTTCTTAGTTTTAATAATTTTAGGCATCCAGATATACAAGGAGGATGCAATTTAAAAACTGCCTCTATTCTCTTTGGCAGAAACTTGGGGTTAGTTAACGGTTTCCAGGAGTCTAAGGAAGAAATAGTCATGTCCCCAGCACTTCGCTGCTGTCAAAACTCATGCCAGAACTCTACATCCCTTGTTTCTGTCTGGGACAATCACTCTGGCAACACATCCAAAAGACCAGCCCAAGAGTATCTCAATCCGAGTTCCCATAGATGAACAGAGGTTGTTTGGCCTGGAAGCAAGTAAGCTTGGTGGAGGATGGCCAGGGGAGGGGCAGGAATACTGATGTCAGATAAAAGATTATCAAAAAATGGGAGACTAGAATTACTGTGTGACTGGGAGGGCTGGCTTAGGACCACTGAGTCCAGGTGCAGGAGACATTTCAAATTAATAAGGAAGACTTAGCTCTAAGAGCTGCATTAAGAAGGAATTGTGCATATCTGCTGGAGGGAGGATGGGCAACAAGGTTTCTTGGAGGTAGTGAGTACCTGATTATAAGAAGCAACCGAGCAGAGGCTGGTAAACACCTGGCTGGGATTTTTCTAGAGCAGTGTTTCCCAAACTTCTCTCATGATGAGAATCACCTGGTGGAGTTGTTAAAATACAGATTCCTGAATCCCAACTAAGAAGTGCTAAACTAGAATTTTTGGGAACATATATTGTAGGTAAAATTGTATACTTAACTTAGTGTTCTTAGATTCCTTTTCTCAGTGGGAACTGAACTAGAAGATTTGTGAGGCCATTTCCAGCCCTAAGGGTCTATGGTGTTCTGAACTTTCAACAGCCCTCCTCAGTCACCTATACCTCTGCTGTGGGAGGAGGAGAGAGTAAATTGGAGAACCAACTGGAAGTCTGGCATTGTGCTGCGCATACAGCAGGCACTAGACAAGTACTCGGCAGTGGTGATAACACTGCCTGATGCCTGGCCCCACGCAAGAAGGCACTCTGCACTTGCCTCTGCAGAGGAATACCCGGAGGAGTATCTGGATTCCAGCTCCCCATCACTAGGAGAAGAGGAAGACAGTTAATTCAGGGGGATGCCTACGAAGCACCGCTGAAAATGACAAGGTGAAGAGCATGCACGAGGGTCTGCAGTACTTATGAAGACCACACACCATAGGATTCAAGACCAGAATTTGCTTTGAGTATACAAATGGTTCCTTCAATGGCTCCAGCAGGGACAAGGACACTGTCACTAACAGTGCAAGACATAATAGGGAAAGATGGTTTCTCCAGACAAGGCTGGAGCTCCAAATCCAAGAGCAGCATGAATCCTCTGAGTCCTCTGAGCAAGCCATCTTGGGATGGAATAGTGCTCCAAAGAAGACAGCCCTGGAACATGCATGAAGGGTTTTGGAAGAGAGAGGGGACTAGTGAAGGCACCAAGCAATCTGCAGTTTTACCCAAGTCACCTCTCAAGGGGTATTTCCAAGGAGAGCACTCACCTGTCAGAGTTGAGGGAAACCAGGTTTTCATCTGGACTCTGACTAAGAGCCGTATAGCCCTTGTTAAACTTCACTGACCTGAGGGAAGATGGGAGAAGAGATCAGGCATAGATGAAGCACCAGCATTTACAGGGAAAGACAGAATCCTTTCCCTTTATGGAAAAGGGCGGCTCTACTCCTGACCTGCCTTCTGCCTGTCACACAGCCACCACCGCCAGCTGTGCTACACAGGCACTTCCCCACTCCACCCCCGCTGCTGACAGCACTGCTCCTCCCGTCTGCTGTCCATCTTCACTCCACCCAGCCATGATGCTCCTCCCTAACTTAAGACAGTGAATGATTCCACAGCCCCTTGCTGTGACACCATCACATTCTTAAAGAAATAAAAAGAAAAAGGTCGTTTTCCTTCCTATTTTAAAATAGTGACCCTGACAGGTTGGCATCAGGGGAATCCCTAGCTGGACCTTAAGCGTGAGCCCAGCGCCTCCCAGCCTCCTCAGAGGACACTTCCTCCTGCGGACACCTTTTCCCGGAGGAGTCGGGGCGGCTCGGCGAGGCCCGCAGCATGCCCTTCCTCCGCAGAGCGGCCTTGGCCAGGTCCCGGTGCTTCTCTGGAAGTCAAAGGGTCCAGGTTAGCGGGTGTTCCCCACTCGGCCGGCCGTTTCTCCCAAACGCCAGGAGCCTGCTCTCGGCGAACAGATTATCGGGCCGGGAGGGGCTGCAGGTGCCTGCGGGGTCGCCCCAGCGGGGCTCCGGGCCCGCCGGGGGGGGGGGGGGGGGTGCTCGCGGGGCGCGGCAGGCCGCCCAGCAGACCCCATCGGGCCGCACTCACGCAGCTTGGCTTGAAGGGAAGGCCCGCGCTTCACCATGTACGGCCCCCGCTTCTCCACGGCCGCCGGCGGCTCCCCCTGGCGGGGGGCTCCGCGGCCGCTCGGCGCGGAGGGCGGCCCCGCAGGCCGTGCCCCGCGCCGCCCGGCTCCTGGCGGGGAGGCTCGCGGCGCGTGCCCGCCGCGCTGCTCAGTCGCCATGGCCTCGCCCGACCCCGCCTAGCGGACAGGACCGAGGGAGGCGCTCTCTTCCTACAAGATGGTGGCGAGCGGGCGCGGTGGTGGCCGCAGAGCTTCCGGCCCCGCCGGCTGAGGGCGTGCCCAGCCACCCGCTCTTCCGGGGCGGGCAAACCTCAGTCCCTTCTCCCGCTTCCCTGCAGTAGGGGCCCTGAATCTGGGATCTCCTGGCTGGCTCTGTTTCTAACGGAAATCAAATGTTGGTGTTTGTGGAGAGTTGGGGGCGTCTTTAGCCCCTGCGCGCACGTGGTCTCCGCCTGTGTCACGGGTCACATTGCAGGGGGAGCCGGGTTGGACGGAAAGGAACTGTGTGCGAAGGAGGTATTGCTGCGTTGGAAGTTATCGAATGAGATACTAGATGCCTTAATGAGCCAATTAACTAGGAGTCGTTTATTGTGCGCGGCCCAGAGGGAGGTGTCTCTTCCCAAACCTCTGAACCCCAACATAGACGAAGTCTCCCATATTTATACTGTTCGAGCCTCTTTGCAGATACTACAAAGGGCTCTGTGTGAGTTATTGTTACAGGCAGTTGTAACTTTGAATACATGATTTTGTACTTGGCATACGGATATGGGAATTATCTATTACATTTGGATGGCGATCTTGCAAGGTTTATCTTTTTCTATTATTTGAACTAAAAAACAGTTATTTTACAGAATAACAGACTGTCTTACAGTGCCAGAGTTTATAATGACAGAGTTTACAGTTCTAGGGACTATCTAACAATAGGAGAGAGTTTCAAACTGTTACACCAAGACTTCGTGATCCCCAAGAACCACCAGGGAGCCGAGTCCGATGCAATAAACAAGAGTCTTTTCCATGCTAGCATGGGCTCTGTCCCACTCACGCAGGCTGCATGGCAGAAGAGAGTGAATTTCTCCAAGCCCAGGGGTTTTACTCTGGTGGTGATGTCACTGCTTTGGCTGACCCTGATTGGTTGGGTGAGGGCTAGGGTCCAGTTACACAAAATGGAGGATAACTCCACCCTGCCCCACAGTAGAGTCGGGAGTTTATCCTCGCCCCGCCCTGCCCTCTCACAAACAGCAGGGTTTTTTTGTGTGTGTTTTTTTAAAAATATATAAGATGGAGGTTACTATGCTTCAGTATTAGTGCTTTTCTCCATAAAAGGAAACAGTTCGGAGAGAGATTCAAGGACCTTGCAGAGGTCATAACTAGAGGCAGTGCCTGGGTTGATTTAACGCCAAAAATCACTTTACTTCCAACTCCAAGTGTTGTCTGAGACCTTGGATGAGGCCAGACCCTCTTTAGGCCTTAGTTTCTACGTTTGAAAATGGAACCAACCTCACTAACCCTGCAGCAGTGACAAGAGTAAAATAGGCTATAGACAGAAGGGTGAAAGTATGCACTGACTCTGTGTGATAGGTAGGGCATGGAACTGCCATGGTGTTAAGGGTCAGCTCTCTGAGTGGGAGGGAGAGGGCTATCCCTTTTTGGGCTGTAAGAAAGATTTAGAGGGCATGACAGACATCAGCGTTGAAGCAAAGCAAGTGAATTTATTGAGGAAGCAAAGCAAGCAACTCTATTAAAGATTAGAGGCCTGATGCACGAAATTTGTGCAGAGATAGGGTCCCTAGACCTGGCAAGTGATCAGGGCCAGTGATGGGAGCCTTCCTGCCCCTGGCCGCTGGCTGAGGCCTTCCTTCGTTCTGCACCACTCCCTGGTTGTCAGTGCATGTCATAGCGAGTGGTCAAACTCTGGGTCAGTTGAACTCCCGAGGGGACAATTTGCATATTAGCCTTTTATTATATAGGACAAATTTGGCCTATAGCTCAAGCAATCACTCAGCACACTGCCCCGTGGGGGTTCAAGTGGTTTTTACCCTTTTATAGGTTCCTGCTTGGATATTTTGGGCAATAGACTAAATTTTAAGTTCTCTTTTTTACTTTGTTGTGGCTTTTCCCAGAATTTATGAGAACATCTGGAGATTTTATCTTGGCAGGTCCTAAGACTGCTGACTTCTTTGTTCAGTGGGTGAGATAACCCTCCCCCCTTTCCTGTATTCTTTGGTTTTGGAAGACAGGTATTAATCATTTGCTTTCTAGTATTGTTGGGGAAGGTAAGGTCTTGCTACAAGCTGGCTACAAACGGCACAAACTTGTTTGGCCTTGTTTAATTTTCTTAGTTTTCCCTTCTACTTGCCCAGAAAATTTCCTAGCTTCTTACTATTGTGCCACAATGGCTCTTGACTTCTCTGGCCTGAAGGGATGTGCTTGTAGCTAGTTGGAAAGAAGTCCCAGATCCTTGTAGGAACTAGTGAGTCTCCTGAGGCTGTTTGGAGTCAAATGCAACTTCTGAGCCCTAAGGATGATACAAATAGTTGAGCTAGACTATACCTTAGACAGCATAGGAGAAACGAATTTAGAGCTGGACTTTTAAAAATATATTTTATTAATTTTTTTACAAAGAGGAAGAGAGAGAGATAGTTAGAAACATCGATGAGAGAGAACCATCTATCAGCTGCCTCCTGGGGATGTGCCTGCAACCAAGGTACATGCCCTTGACCGGAATCAAACCTGAGACCCTTTAGTTTGCAGGCTGACACTCTATCCACTGAGCCAAATCAGTTAGGGCTGTAGTTGATTTCTAATTTCATTCCATTGTGATGTGAGAAGATGCTTGAAATAATTTCAATTTTCTTGAACTTGTATAGGCTTGTTTTGTGTCCTAACATGTGTTTTCTCTTTGTGAATGATCAATGTGCACTTGAGAATGTATATTTTGCTGCATTGGGATGAAATGTTCTATAAGTGTCTATTAAATCCATCCTAATCCAGTGTGTCCTTTAGAGTTTCAGTTTCCTTGTTATGTTTTTGTAAGATCTGTCCAGTGAAGTCAGAGGGGTGTTAAAATCCCCTACTATGACTGTAATGTTGTTGATCTCTCCCTTAAAGTCCTCTAACACTTTTATATATATATTAGGTGCTCCTATATTGGATGCATGATGTGCTTTGGTGTGGTCCTCTTTGGATTCCTTTTGTTTGGGGTTCTGTGCGCTTCCTGGACTTGTAAGTCTAATTCTTTCACCAGGTGGGGGAAGTTTTCTGTCACTATTTCTTCCAGTATTCTTTCGGTATCTTGCTCTCTCTCTTCTGGGACTCCCATCATTCTGATGTTGGTTCGCTTGAAGTTGTCCCAGAGGTTTCTCACACTATCTCCAACTTTCTGGATTCTCTTCTCGTCTTGCTTCTGCAGAGGAGTTTCCTCTTGCTCTTTGTGTTCCAAATCTTTGACTTGATTCTTACAATCTTCCATTCTGTTTTTAGGACTCATTATTATATTTTTCATTTCAGACAATGTATTCTTTATTTCTAGTTGATCCCTTTTCATATCCTCAAAGGTCTCATTTATTTTATCAGCCTTTTCTAGGAAATTCTTTTTTTTTTTAATATATATATTTGATTTTGTACAGAGAGGAAGGGAGAGATATAGAGAGTTAGAAACATCGATGAGAGTCATTGATCAGCTGCCTCTTGCAAACCCCCCCACTGGGGATATGCCCGCAACCAAGGTACATGCCCTTGACTGGAATCGAACCTGGGACTCTTCAGTCCCCAAGCCGACGCTCTATCCATTGAGCCAAACCAGTTTTGGCTCTAGGAAATTCTTGAAAAACCTTATAACCGTGGTTTTGAACTCTATATCCAGTCTTTTGTTCTCCTTCATCTCTTTCATTTGAGATCTATTTCCTTGTCTCGGCATTTTTGCTGCTTCCCAGAGTTGGTAGGGTAGCTTTGTGTGTTTGGTGTCCTATATGGCTCAGTGGGTCAGCCTCCCCAGTTACCTGAGGTAGACACTCTTGGTGCTCCCCATTGTGGACTGTGTGTACAACCTTGTTGTAGTTAAGTCTTGATTGTTGTTGGTATCCCTGGGAGGAATTGACCTTCAGGCCATTTGGATGTGGGTATCAGCTGTGTCTACTCTGGGATACCTTCTGTATTGGAGACAGTCTTATAGGATCAGACTTGCAAAATTGCAAAAGCCTCTGTGCTCAGCTTGGATAGGGTGGAGTCTCGAGGCTGAGCTGACAGTATTGGCTTCCCGTAAGCCCTGCCCTTGTGCACTCGCCCGAGTTTCCGCCTGACCATCCTGATTCCCCGTGCAAGTGCGTGGGTACCACAGGGGCTCGCCCGGAATTGGGTTGGGTCTCTGTAGTCTGGAGCTTCTGACTCCATCCATTATGGAGAGGCTGTGGCAACCTCTGCGGTCAGACCTCTCTGCGCACACTCACTCGCATGCAACTGTAGATCCTGCCAGCTGCGGCTCCCGGTTCCCCCAGTCTCCCAGTCTCTCAGTCATTGGGTGCCTTTCTCTACAGTCAGACTCCACCTGTATGAGCCTGGGTCCATGGGGTTTCGGCCGGGGTTGGGGTTCAGTCCAGTCAGAAAGGGTTCAGTGCAACCGGGACTTCCTTTCCCCTCCCGCCAGCCAGGAATTCGGCTGCACTTCCTCTCTGTGCGCGAGCGTCTCCCTACCTCAGCGCTTTGTGGCTCTCACTGAGATCCGGGAGCCTCTCTCCTTTCTGATTATAGATTCCCCGCTCGGCCAGCTTTCCTGTGTTTTTGGATGATGTCCATTCTGATTTTAGTTGTTGTTTTGAAATTGTTGGGTGAGGCGGCAGCGTAGGTGCTTACCTAGGCCGCCATCTTCCATGTCATCAAGAGCAATGAATTTTTAGTTACCACCAGAGCCTTGCCCTGATGACAGTGACCAGCATCCCCCTTGATTAGGCACCCTCGCTCACCTGCTCCACTATCCCACCGCAGCCAATGCCTTCCATGTCCATGCTCTGCTGAGCCTGCTGTTGACACCTGTCACATACCAACTGCACCCCTGGTGGTCAGCACACATCATAGTGGTTGTTCAGTTGTTTCGCTGTTTGGTCTATTTGCATCATATTAGCCTTTTATTATATAGGTTGAACATATATTCTTTATAATGGAAAAGAAACTAGTAAAAATATTTAATGCCATGGTGATATCAAGCATCTAGAAGAGTTCAGGAATCTGAGAAAGGCTGCGTGTAAATTAATAGACTATA